GGGAATTTTAAGATTCTTATTTTATTTTCATATTATGATAAATTATGTCTACAGTGTTTCATATAATTCGGAGAACATGATTTTCTCGCGATATTGGTTGATATTTCAGGATCCCCTTTGCGTTTCATTTCCACATTATGTACACTGTCAATACATAGCAAATCATTAAAAGCCGATTGCCGAATAATTGACTTGTTATCACACACGCGCTTCGATTCGTATTTAATCCCTCCCTTCATATAGAAGCACAAAGAGGATCTACAGCAGCGAAGTGGCGAAACGAGAGGATCAGCCACGTCGCAAATGGATTCGACCAGGCGTGGTTCTTCGGTAAAACCGGAGGATCTGTAGATCCATATCGGGACATTCTGTGGACACCTGTTGTGTTGTGTCATCACGTGCAGTTCTCTAGCTTTACGTTATCGCGCGGTTGAGTGAGTTCTCGTGTAAAGCTGAGACATCAGGGGAAGCGAGAACGCGTTCGGAGGGAGGGAAAGGGAAACTTGCGAGAGAAGAGACAAAGGTTAATTTGGTACGAGCTGTAATCCGTCTCATCCGTCGGATGGAGTTCCAGAACCCACAGACACGGTGACAGCGGTCCGGATTACTGCCTCGCACCGTCGAGGATTATATCGAGCGCGAAAAAAGATTAATCGGCGTTTCTATCCCGATCAAAATCCCGTGCGTACTTTTAATGAAGCCGGGGAGGGCACGTAAAGCCAGTCGGGGGTGGGGAACTCGAGCACCCCGTGGTTGCGTAATTGAACGAATAATCATCTAGGCGCGACGATGAAGTCGATGGTGCTGTTTGTTAATTACTGTTCCTATCACGCTATCGATATCTCCTTTTGATTAAATCGAAATGCGAAAATACAATAATTTTTCTTGTTAATTCAAAACAACAGATCACATTACACTTCAATTATGCACAGATTTTTCTTAGAATTTATCTTGAAAATCATGGTAATCGTGGGACAATATATGATATTGGAAGAATTTCATAGGAGTTTCTCTGATTGATATTTATCATAAAAATATTAATATCTACCATAATAAGATATTAATAAAATTTACTATGTACATATTAATATTTTTTACTATGGTAAATATATTAATCAAAGCTCTCATAAAAATTGTCTCATAATTTTCAGGGTAAATTCTAAGAAAAATTCTCTTCGGTGCGTATAAATATATAAATATTGTACATGAAATAAATATTTTTGATAAAATATTTTCAACATTTTATTTGCTTCTAGAATTTTTTAGAAATACGGAACGAGATGCAGCAGGATTGATAATATTCAGTCGTTCAGAATGACAATTTTACCAGACTCCGAAATTTTATTCGTTAAATTCGTCGTGCAGGGGGTGTTTCGCAAAGTATAATAGAAATTCGGAAAATGGCCACCTTCCGCAGGACCTTAATTAACGTACCGTCTCTCCCGAATCCCGCCCGAGCCGCGGAATCGAGACGTGCCTGGGATCGCGATGTTACCCCCATTGTTCGCCAACGTTGGCATTACGATACGGCTGTAACCATCGCGGGAAGTCGAGCCGGCGCGGCTCGGCGCGTCTCGTCGTTAATGTAATGGCGAAAATGGCGAAACGGCCCCGACATCACGTAGAGGTAATTCGGCACGCGTACGCTCGTCTATCAAATTGATTTTCACACCCCGCGTTCCCTTACGTTTATTTCGCCACGTTTGCCGGACGACTATGTCGCAGCTGTTTTGCATACAAACTTTGCAGAAATTATTTTGCAATTACATCTGCGCAAAGTATATTCCTTATCGCGATATCTTTTGCTTATATGAGGGAGGTCGTACAATTAGATTTAATTTACTTTAAATAATTGATTGTATGCCTATGTGTGTGAAAAAAAGATAATATCCTCTGCGTGGAGGATTACTATAAATATTCCTGAAAATGTTAAGTACTAAGAATAATATTGACTATATATGAAAGAAAGTCCTATGAAAATATACTTTAGACTAATCTGCCAGATCTATTTCCAGTATTTTTTTAATAAATAGATTTTTCCTATTTCACATAAGAATGAAAACAAGTTTATATAGGTTTTTCAGGTATAGATTTCTCAATACTTAAGAATGCTCAAAGATCAAGATAGACTTTATGATAATACTTTTAAAATTGGAATGCGAGTTATTTGTGATTCCTACAAACCAAAAAGGTTCTATTTCAGTTACAAATATATGTTTAATATTTGATCACGTACAATAATAACGATTAATTTTTATATAATGAAAATCACGGATAGAAACTGCAGCTGTAATAATTACTGTTATTATTATGATAAAATAATTAATTATGCCTATGTAAATTTTGTAGGCTATTTTGCAGTGATCAAACTATGATACTAAAATAAACATTATCTACTTTACTTGGGCCCTGGGCATAATAGAGAAAATATTAGGAATAAATATTAAGAATAGAAATTATTTTAAAATAATATATATATAATCGAAAAAAAATCTGATATATAAATATATATTCGAGTATAATAAGGACTCTTAGCTTAGCTAATTAGTCTTTTATACCCCAATTTGTATTTTTATATATTGGAATCTTTTCAATTTTATTATTTTAAAATAATTCTTATTCCTATTTAATATTTGTTCTTTTATATTTCTTTATTGTACACTGAAAAAAAAAATCGTTGACTAAATTATTCAACTAAATATTATTTTATTAATTGAATATATAGAAATATTTAAATGAAATATAACATATTAAGTCTAATAAAACGTGTATTTGACTTAAATAATATATGTCCAATTAACAAAATTGTAATTTATTTGAACGGTTTAAGCAAGTTAATAAATTTTCTTTCAGTGTGCGCAGTCTTATGCTAATTCTATTTTCAATCTTTCAAATAAACCGAGCACGAACACTCTGTCCCTGTCTCTGGGCTTACGAAACTTACTTATTCGATACAAGTTTCGATCAATAACTTCAATGTACAGAAATAAAAAAATATTCTCAGCAAATGTCAGGAAGACTTTTGTTTCGAAGAATAAAATATTATATTGTATTAAGATATACGTTAGAGTAGACGTTTTTTTTTAAGTACATTGGCGCCGAAATCGAGTCGAAAAATGGGTGAATACAGACAGGACGTGACGAGACGCTTTTGAAATGCTGAAAAATAAAGACCGAAGAGCGCACGAGGTTGCAACCGTCGCTCCATTTCGTTGCCCCGGTCTCTGGAGCCCTAATTGACTCGCGCTGGCACCCAATCGGGCCGCAAATTATAGGTCTCGAGGAAAAGAACGATTATCGGCTAAATAAGAGAGACTACAAACAAACAGAATAAGCGCGCTGACTACGGAGAAACGGCGGTAAAAAGTGCCGTTCCGGTAAGTCCAACGGAATGACCTATCCATTGACCGTATAAGAACGTGTTTTAATGTGTTGACGATATCTGTCATGTGTGTCCGGTTTACACGCGAGACAGCTTAAGTAGAAAATTACTTGCCTTTCATCATAGTTAAATATTGAAATAAGTATTCAAGATTCTTCAAGGTATAAGCACACTATATACATAATATACATATATGTAAACCATAGATTACCATAAGAATATGACTATTGACGCGGTTACATATGATTTTTGTGTCTGACTACCTGAACGTATATATTTCTTGAATATTTCATTTAAAAAAGTTTAAAAAGATTTCCAAAATTCTGTTTCATATCAGATATTTTGCTACAACTTTAAGTTTTCTCACACATATATGTACGCGTGTGCTTTCTTAATATATTAAATTAAATAAATTCGTTAATTTCTGTATTTGATTATTTTTTCTGCAATATATATGTTTCTTTTCTTTAGCTCTCTTTCTTTAAATGCTCAAATATACTTTAAAACATACTTTATTTCAAATATAAAAAATTCTGCAGAATGCAAAATGAGGACAAATATAATATTTTATCAAAAACATACACTGGAAAAAATTTATTGATTTGACTAAACTTTTTAACTAAATTACTATTTTGTTAATTGAACATGTATTAGTATTTAAGTATTAGTATTTAATTATTACATGTATTAGTATTTAATGTTATATTTAATTTAAATTTTTTTGTTTAATCAATAAAATAATTGAAAGTTTTGTCAAGTTAACAAATTGTTTTTAGTGTATATTTCTGAACATGTATATTTCTTAAATGTTTTATTTGCATTTTAAAATAAGCTTGTTTTTTATTTCTGCACTGATGAACTAGTGCACACTGGTGCAATAAGTTATAATAGAGCAAATGTATTTTGTCTCACTCTAACTTATTGCATCAGTGTACACAGTTCAGCCAGTGCAGGAATAGAAAACAAGCCTAAAGTTTAAAAAGATTTCTAAAATTCTGTATCATGTCAGATATTATACTACATACTTTCTAAAGTTTTTCTTACACATATACGTGTGTGACAGAGCCTTCTTAATATTAAATTAAATAAATTCATAAATTCATAAATTTCTTTATCTAATTATCTTTTTTGTAATCTGTTTCTTTTCTTGATCTCTTTTAAATGCCCAAATATACTTTATTTTTATTTCAAATATAAAAACTTCTGCAAAACGCAAACGTGTGTGCAAAATGAGGAAATCTACTACTTATCGAAAACATACACTGAAAAAAATTAATTAACTTGACTAAACCTTTCTCAACTAAATATTATTTTGTCACAATTAAACATATAAAAATATTTAAATTAAATATAACATATTAAATCTTAACAAAACGTATAAGACTTAATTACTAATATATGTTCAATTAACAAAATAGTAATTTAATTGAAGGGTTTAGTCAAATTAATAATTTCTTTTCAGTGTATATGTGAGATCGACTTGAAACTAGCTGCACACTGAAGTTGAAGGCTATATAGCTGCATCGCAAAGAATGCAATTAGGCTAGCTGCATCGCGCAAAGAATGCTTTCCAAGAGACAAGCACACCTATTAATGCACAGATATGTTATGTACTCACACAATCAGCAGCTGAACGTCAGAAGATTGCCAATTCGTATGCACGTGCGATATTTATGCAATCTCGAAGACACAGCTCTCACCACAGCTGTTCGAACGGAGCTTCCCCCGATGCCGGCTCGATGATAGACATCTTAATACGTCTATGGGCTCGACGAGATCTCATTGTCAGCGTGGCGTGAAACGTACTAGATATACAGAGTACGTTTAAGTAGATCGAAATCTTATCGTTGGCCACGATCGGGAACGGCGTTCAAGTGGACCGTCTAATTCATCCAGCGCGACAATAATGAGCAATGGCCGCCATGTCTGTGAAAACCATAGACATAATAAGACATAGATTGCGCATTACGATTAAAAAATTGATAGAGACAAAAGATAGTACAATGTCACGCGATTGGCTATCACCTAGAGAATTTTCAAAATCGCGAAAATTTTTTACTCGCATAATTCGATAGCCAATCGCGTGACAGGGTTCTTGCAGGAAAGAAATGATAATGAATAGAAAAATAGAGAAAAAAAAAGAGAGAGAGAGCGGTCACTTTTCGCGACTCGAAAAGCATCGTACAACGTGAAGGCCTACTTAGCATTCGGTGTCACGTAGAGCCCGCGTTTTAATACATCAAAAACTCAGGAACCCTTGTCGTCCCTCGCCCCTCGATGGTCGGGTATCCGAGTGACGATCCTTCTTTGCCGGGTGCGAGACACCCCTCTGAAGGCTCTCCCTCGCCTTCCCGCGCGGCATCATTTGTTCGGTCTCGCGAGAACCTGCTCTTCCGGAAGGAGAGAGAGAGAGAGAGAGAGAGAGGAGAGAAAAAGCGCTACGTACCTTTTGTTTTGCCGGGGGCCGCGCTCCGATTGGCGCGTTCGTTCGGTCTCGCCGGCCATGGCAGCCTTTTCCCGAGCTAGGGATATCGGGCCAATAGCCTACTCGAGGGCGTTCCTGGGCGGGCATTGCTACGCGTCCCGCATCCGACTCTTCGCCTCGTTGTCATTATTATTATTATTATCATCGCAGCCGGCGATGTATACCTTTTATGAGCTTCCGGCCGCGTCCGCAATGTTGGTAAGAGCGACGTATTTCCTGGAAATGGCGCGTAGCTTCGATCGTCTCCCGCCAGATGGCAGCAGGTGTACGGTTCTTTAATCGTCTCGACTCTATAAATCTAGCAACATACAGTTATATATATATAGATATTTATAATGAATAAAAATATATAAATTTGTATGGCTTTTTTTATTTATTTACGATACATTATAAACAGTATGATTGATTTACCTGGGTATATCGGTAATTCTAAAGTTGCTTTCAGTGGAAAAACAGCAAAATTTTAGATTAGTTGACTAATTGCACTGATTAGTCGTCCAGTCGGTGTCAATTCTTTGTTTCGCGGGAATCGAAATTTCGTTGAGTTTCGTCGAAAGTACTCGGACAGAGGTGTTTGTCGAACGGATTTCGCGGAGATTACACACGTCAAGCTTATTTTGTTAATTCGTCTAACTCGTTTTTTCGTGCTGCATATCGCGGCAAACTACTGACCAGACAGTAAATTTCTATTACTCGAATCATATAACATCTAGAACTGTTCCTTTTTCGACTTTATTCTAAGCAAAAGGTGCATATCTATGTATATACATCTGCTATATATATTTGCCTATTTTATTGCAATTTATCATTATTAATTGAGAATATTGAGTGCTTTTTAATTAACAACATAAATCGACAGAAGACGAATTCTATCTTTGTTCCACATTTGATAAGAATAAGGATAGAATGATGCTTGCGTTGCTAAATGGAAAGGACCAATTACAATCGAGGAAGAAAAAAATGGCGCATTGCGTTGGTGTAAATGCACTACTTTGACTATACCCACATGAATTTGCGGCGGCCGAAAGTTGCGAAGGTCGCGACTCTAGTTACGCGTTCTTATAGTGATAACTTCACGGTCGTACGCGAGCGGAGTAATGGAGTATTCGCTCGCGAAGAAAATCCGTCCAAAAATCGTGGCTCGCCGGGAGCATCGCCCGGAAATAATAGTCAAACGGATTTTACGGAGAATAAACAGTGTCGAAGTTATCTTGTCAATTCGTTTACTTATATTTTCGTGCGATATCGCGACAAATTACTGACCGACCGGTAGATTTCTCTCACTCGTCGACGAGTCATATATCTCGAATTGCGCCAATTTTTGGCTTTATTCTAGCAAAAAGGTATAAATCAGCCTATATATATGTATGTGCAATTGTCTGGTTTGTCATAATTTATCATTAATTTGTAAAATTATATGTTTCAGCAAGGAAGAAAAAATGGCGCATGGTGTGAGTGCGCCACTTTAACTTGGCCATCCACATGAACTTGCCATGGTCGAAGGTCGCGAATCTAGCTGCGCGTCCTTTTTGTCAGCGACAACTTCACGGCGACCCTCGGGCGTGCAGTCGCCGGCTCTTTGCGCTCGTGAAAAAAATCCGTCGAAAGTCGCGGCTCGCCGGGAGCATCGCCCGGAAATAATTGTCAAACGGATTTCACGGAGAATAAACAGTGTCGAAGTTATCTTGTTAATTCGTTTACTCGTATTTTTGTGCGACATCGCGACAAATTACTGACCGACCGGTAGATTTCTCTCACTCGTCGACGAGTCATATATCTCGAATTGCGCCAATTTTCGGCTTTATTCTAACAAAAAGGTATCAATCAATTTATATATATGTATATATAATTGTCTACTTTATCGCAATCTATCATCATTAATTTGTAAAATTATGTTTCAGCGAGGAAGAAAAAATGGCGCATTGGTGTGGGAGAGTGCTACACTTTGGCCATCAACATGAACTTGCCACGGTCGAATGTCGCGAAGCTAGCCGCGCGTCCTTATTGCTAGCGACCAAATTCATGGTGACGCCGGGCGTCGAGTCACCGTGTTTTTCGCTCGTGAAAAATCCGTCGAAAGTCGCGGCTCGCCGGGGGCATCGCCCGGAAATAATTGTCGGACGGCTTCCGCGAAGAACGAGTGTGCGTCGGGCTCGTAATTCGCGTGATTTCGCGTCGTCGATCGCGAATAATTCGTTCGTGTCGCGTTGAATTACGGATCGTCCAGTTTCGGCGAACTGAGACGTCACGCGGGTGTGTAAGTGCACAGTGTTTCCGCCCTCTATTGGCGATAGTGACAGTGATAGTGTGATTACCTGTTCCTTTTCCTTGGATAATTCTGCAATGATCGACAGCGCATGGATTTATGATTCATCGACAGAGGGAAGCTCCGGCGACCCAATTGCAGTTCATCACTAAGTAAGTCTGGTATGCTATTCCATGAAAATGTATTGTCTTGTTAATTCAAGCGAAAGGGTCCTCGAGACAATTTTAAATATACAATTTGACGATTTCTTTCGAGTCAATTACAAATAGATAATTTATCGTAAAACAATATTGGATTGTAAGAAAATACTTATATTTTTACTCATACATTTTTTCCAGAAATATATAATTCTCTTTCTTCAAATTAATTTAAAGAGATTCCTCTTTAAAAATATCTATCTAAATTTAGATATTAAATATAAATTGAATATAAATTATAAATATATATTTAATTATTAAATATAAATTAAATATAACTTATTAATTAACAAATATAAATTATTATTGAAAATTGATTATATGAATAATAATTATTATTAAATAGATATATTCATAATTGTAAATATTATTAGTTAAAATTGTCTCGTGTTCACACAATAATTTTTCCTCCACTATTTTAAAGTAGGATCAATCCGTAAAAGTTATCATATATATTTCAAGAACATATTAATTCCTCAAATTGATTTTACGAATTGAATATTAAGCTGTTTGGTGGGTATTTTTTTTTTTTGCAAAGCGTTACGAGAAAGTCGTAGATGACAGACTTCGATATAATTCATCCTGCTAAAGGTTAAAGGTTTTAATATCCTCTACTGGACACCCACTTAGCAGCGATAATTTGAATTAATAAGCGCAAATTGTGTGGACGGACCCTTGTTGCTTGCAAATATGAACATCCGATCTCGAGCATCGATGACTGGTTGTGGCCTTGTTGAAATTAATTTTTAAGCAATCGAATATGGAAATTGAAAATAATTAACTAACATTTTATCATCGAAATTTGTCAATTGTTGTCTCATAGAAATTTATATTGACGTAATATATTGACGTGACATTATTATTAACAAATTGTTTTATTATATAAAATTACTTATATATAAAATTTTTTTTTACCAAAAATAATTTAAAAAATTTTAATTTTAATTGTTTTTTTTATTTTATTTGTAATAGATGATTTTTAAAATAAATTTATTTAATTTAATAAGATTTTGCTAAAATTGTAAAATTTTCTTGATATTAAAATAATATAGATATATGGATGTATTTTCCAAAATACTTTATTTAAATATATATAGCAAAATTTATATACACATTCAACAATTTTGCTGTATATACAATTTAAATAAAAATTTACGAATTGTATCTATAAATTTATTTTTTTAATATAAAAAAAATGGTATAATTTCAGCAAATGATCCTTATTAAATTAAGTAATTTATTCAATCATATATCAATAAAATTAAAAAAAAATTTTAATTTAAAAATTAGAATTAAAAAAAAGATATTTTTGGCAAAAAATGTAACAAATTTGTCAAAAGATTCGTCAAACTAAATAAGTGTATTATTTCCGGGACATCCGATATTGTCACGAGTAACATTGTTACGTAATTATTGTAGTCGAGTGAATTACAAACGCGAAGTCAAATCATTTTCGCAAACTTTAAGGGGAACTTTACGCAGTTCGAGCACTTTCGTAAATTACGAGGATCCCGTCGTCGATGCACGAACGCTACAGCGAATATAAACCGCATAGCCAAGAGTCTCGCTCGCACTGTCGATTCCAATGTATATTATCGTCTCTTCATACCGTCGCGTCGGGGCGCGAGCAAATGGCGCTCATTTGTAGTGATAGGGATCGCACGGTATCTCGCAAAAAGCGCGGGGCTTAACGACCGAGATGCGCCTATGCGATATCCGGTTACAGATCCGTCAGTGATATCGAGCGTAGCTCGATGTGTCTACCGGAATTAAAAATGTATTACGCAAGGTGTCGTTCGCCCGCGATCCGCCGTTTGATCGACGACTGTTCGCGTCACGGAAACGAGAGTCTCGTCGCTTTAAATTAAAATGGCAAATACGTAATAAATATTTATGTATTCTTAAGTACACTTTTATATACAATATACTTCCTCCTTTTTGCATTATATGTTATTCAAACTGCAAATATTTCCTCGACGAATTTTCGCACAATAAAATTGGAAAAATTATCTATCCAAGATTCTCAGATTTTTCACGGCTGATTAATATTCTTCTATAATTTTTTACGAGAAGGCATTAGTACAATTAAAATTTCGAGATCCTTTAAAAAGGAATATCCGATTGTGAATTAGCTTGTTTTCAGCGCACATAAATTCTTTTAACTGTTTCAAAACAGCTGAGCGGGAACTTATTCGCACCTAATTACTGCACATATATACATTCTAGCGTAAAAGATTGCTACTATTTGTGGCGATATATTTTAACGCTGATAAAACGATCTCTAGGATCGTATACATATAAGGTTCGCTTTCACGTATAGATTCCTAGAAGCCGGCTCATCTGCATGAGAACAGCGGGCGGTGCACAAAAGCGGGAGCCTATAATTAGCGAGCTGACGCTAGTGGTTTTATAAAACGCACTTTCTGGTAATTACCTGTTCGACGATATCGTGCCGCGTAACATTGCACCTCTTTGTATATATCATCCGATTTATCGCTGGCGGACGTGTCTTACAGATTGATGCGCCGCGCGCCGGTTGTTCGCGCGATGCATAATGCATCGCAAGGATGCGCCGCGTTACGAGCGCTTTGCGGTTGTCGTTCCGCACGACGTAAGTGCATTGTCCTATACGTCCGAGTGTATCCTACATTTTAATGTAAAACTCGAAGAAACCGCGTCGGCACTGCTTAAGATGCGAGTCGACTCTCGAGTCGGGCAATTATATTTCTTTTTATCGCCCTTTTGGGCGATGATGATATAAGAAAAAAAGACGAGCGTATTTCGTGTTCTTTGTTAAAAAGCGAACAGAAGCGTTTCCGCACGATGTTGCCTATAACGCTATACTATCCCTTTTCATAAATAATCATTTGCCACGATCGAGTAATTAGCAGGCGGACAGAACGCCTGATGCTTTTATTTCGTATATCACGTAGCCGAGCAACCGTGAAACTCCGCACGATATCATTCATAAATAATTTATATAGCGAATCGATAATATTTTTTTCAGAAACTTTCTGCACAATAAAATGTTTGACATTTCATTTTTCCTTTCGGTTATAATCGGAGAACCAATGCAATATCGACATGTTCCACTTACATTGTGATATTAAAGTAGAAATATTGATATTTTAAAACGAAGCATTTTTATCTCGTAAAACGATGAACGAGCTATTTCTACTATACGTACGTATACGTGAATCAGACGTGTCGTAATGTAATCGCGATGCAGCCGGAGCGACGTGTGATGTTGGGATGCACCAACCTCGGTATATACGGCCTCGTTCGTTCAGAAGCGTTATCGCGTTTTTCTCAGTTGGCACTTCAGCCGACGACGAGAGCCGTCGTCGCCGCGACGATGCGATGGTAGAAAGGGGAGCCCTGTAGGACGGATACATAGGAAGAGAAAAAAGGAATAGCGCGAACGCGCGCGGCACGGCGGAAGGAGTTGAGAAATGTCAGCCGGCAAATTGGAAGAGAGGGAGGGAGAGAGGCGGGCGAGTCTCTACGGCAGCCCCGACGTCAAATAAACATGCCAGGACGAGCAATTTCGAATATTAGAAGGTCCCACAGGGTAGATGCATCCTGCGTCAGGGCGCGTGAGCTACGGTGATGACGTCCGACCGCAGGACGCATCAGGGACTCACTTGCGCGGCCCATTGCAATTGCAAGTGCTGACCGCAAAGTAAATGGGCGCCGGCCAGCGGGAATTAAAGACGTTCTCGTTCGCCGTCTGCTTGCGCGAAAGACGAGAATTTCAAATGTCATGTTCGGTGTGAATGCTGGAGGGATTTGGAAATCAGTTCTTTCTGCAACTCGGATTTTTTTTTTTTTTCTCCGATAGAAATATGTAAATTTAATTTCCAATAATTTATCTTGCTAATAAATATTAGTAATGTCGGACGAATTTGCAATTCATTAGAATTTTTCAATTAAAATTCCTTTTGATGTGCAGTACATCATATATACAGCTTATCGTCACTCTTATTATTTTTAAAATTAAGAGACATTTTACACGTGATTATTGATACTTTGTATTAAATAAATATATATTTGCTAAACAAATATACTATAATTTTTTTTACGCATTTATATACATAATTATAAAATTTATTTTTATTTAATATTATAATAGAAAAATAATTTAATATATTTTTTGTAGTTATTTTAAAAGGAATATTTTTTCAGAATAGTTGAAAAAGAGAAAAAATAATTATTAATAAATATCTAAATAGGTTAATAATATGAAACTGAATATGATTTTCCTGAAGTCTGTGGCTATTCTGTAGCTATTGAACCACAAATGAAATATTTATGCTTATTGCTGTATATATACATACGTACCTATAATAAATTATTGGAAATATACATTTACGTTTTCTAGCGGAAAAACTACTATAAATTCAAGCTATTTAATGCCTAGAATATGTCGGAATAACATTGATTAGAACACAATGATAGCATTTATGTATATATCTTCTGAGAAGTTGCGGGAAGAATGAATCATTCGTTTCTTCTGCTTTTTAATTTGCCGAATTGATACTTAGAAACTGTTCTTACATTCGTTAACATTCGATCCTTCGCCGCATTAAAGAGTCAACGATGTTCGTCTCCGCGACTAATTTATATTTCTATTAAAATTTATTTTATTCTTGTTTCATCAAAGAAATCCATTGATAATATTCAAGAGGGAGGGAGAAAGATAAGATATTAATTTGCGCATTGCAAATTTCGCACCATTGATTATTCCGCAAATTATTACTCTTTAACGTACAGCTAAGAATTATGCCTAACTATTTAATAATTGGGAGAGACGGGGCTGCGTATTCATTGTTAATGAGAAATTAGGGTCACGTAGCACGCGTCGATCTTCGAAACAAAGCACAAGCGTCTGGTGGGTAATTTCGCGAGGGAAAAGACAGAAATCTTCAGTTGCGCGTGGCAAATTTAAATAATCT